TGTGTCCAGTTCTGGGCTCTACAGTACAAGAGGGATGTGGAGCTGCTGGAGAGAGTCCAGTGCCAGGGCCACAAGGCTGATCAGGGGCCTGGAACATCTGCCCTATGAGGAGAGGCTGAGGGAGCTGGGCCTGTTCAGCCTGGAGAAGAGAAGGCTGAGAGGGGATCTGATCAGTGTCTATAAGTACCTCAAAGGAGGCAGTGAGGAGGATGGTGCTGGTCTCTTTTCACTGGTGGCCACCGACAGAACTAGAGGTAATGGCCACAAACTGAAACACCAAAAGTTCCACAGGAACTTAACGAAAAAATTCTTAACAGTGAGGGTGACAGAGCACTGGAACGAGTTGCCCAGAGAGGTTGTGGAGTCTCCTTCTCTGGAGATCTTCAAAACCCGCTTGGATGCAGTCCTTTGCCACGTGCTCTAGGTGACCCTGCGTGTGCAGGGGGGTTGGACTAGATGACCTCTAGAGGTCCCTTCCAACCTTAAGCATTCTATGATTCTATGAACTTCCAATGGATAGCTATGCTTTAAACAAAGCTTGAAGCCTGGGCCTTGGTTAGCTTTTCAGGTGATTAGATGCAGCCAGGTGAGCAAGTACTGTGTTCAGTGCTGTTTAGGAATTAAAGGCTGGGTTGCACTATTTTTGCAAGATTCAGTACAGGTGAAGAGCCTCTCATGTCTTGTGGCCTTCAGTATGTTGCAGTATTTTCCCTCAACTAGTGTCTAATATGAAGAAATTGCCTTGGAAGCACAGCTTAGCATAGGAAAGAGGTGAACTACCAAAGTCCACTCAAGTGGACAAGGAAGAACCACATAGATGTCCTTTTAATCTGGCTTGCCTTTAAAAGTAGGAAGCAGGGTGGCTGCTGAGGTCTCGAAAGGATTGTTGATAGTAGTTGTATCAAATCACTGCACGCAAAAAATAATGTAGGTGGCAAACTCTTGCTGAGCAGTGGAAGCAATGCTCTTTTGTCTTGCTTATGATCTGGTGTTGGGGCTAAGGAGAATGTTCTTAGCACCTTAGTCATGGCTAGTTCCAGTAGCAGCTGTAAAATTAAGTCAGGATTAGCAGAACAAAATGGCCTTTTAAAACACATTTTCGACAGTTATTCTACACCTAGTTCTAGTTCCTCTGTTACAGGAGAGTTTGTTACCTGAATTTCTCTCCCAAGCTTAAGTTATGGAAGAGGTTGCATGTTTGCCTTGTTTAGCATAACTGCTGCTGGATTCTATTTATTTCCTGCATTTTACATACTTTATGCTATCTACCTTACATAATAAAGGGACTTTGATGTGATGTTCTTGTTCAGTGCACAGAGTGTGTAGCTTATCGTGTTAGAATGCTCCAAGTACAGATGAATATTTTTTTTTTTTTAAAGCAATTTGTGGTCAGGTACTCTTAGCAGTAGTTCAGAGCAAATGCTGAAATGTCCTTGGAAGTGAATCAGTGGTTTAGCAAGAGCAATGCTTGTAGACATTGAGTAGAAGAGCTGCAAGCTTCAAAAAGACTGTGTCAGAGTTGGTTAGTGGGGAGCCAAAAGCTTAGAGGGACTTATATAAGACAAGAAAAATAATTAGCAAGGTTATCAATATTTTGGGATACAGAACACTGAAATAGTGCAAAAATGCCAAAATGCAAGACTTGTGGGAGTTAGGTTCAAGGTTTGTCCCTACATTTCCAATTTAATTACTGTGAAATTCTGGGAGGAATTTGGGGTAAGGCACTAGAAGTGACATGTGATTTAGTTCCCAGTTTAGCCCAAGATAATGGGGACATGGGATCTAAACACTTCCCTTGTGGTATTTCTTGAATGTAGTTGAAATAGTTCAATAAGTTTTCTTACCAAACAGCTGAAAAACCTGACTAAATGCTTCTTTGTTACCTGCAGTTGGCAAGCATGAGTTAACTGGGCACAAAGTGGCAGTGAAGATCCTGAATCGACAGAAGATTCGCAGCCTTGATGTTGTAGGAAAAATCCGCAGGGAGATTCAGAACCTCAAGCTCTTCAGGCATCCTCATATAATTAAACTGTAAGTTTGCTTGCTATAATCAAATCTGCTTAAGCTGTAATTTCTTTTGCTCTTGCTGATTTGAAAAATCATTTAGGGGAAAATAATATTAGCAGTATCTCGTTAGGAAAGTAGTCAACTTCTGAGTGTGTAGCTTTTCTCGGTGTCCTTCATGATGTATTTTCATAAAATTGATCTGCGCAAGGCAGAGAGCCTCTGATTCTTTAGAGGGTAGAGGCATGAGAGATTTCTAGTAATATCCATCTCTTTGTATTGTTATTTCTAACTTGCTAAAATGTGATAGTTCTAAGCTCAAAGAGTTAAATTTGTCTGTCGGCAAATGCACAAAGATCATGTTCTTATGAGAAAGTGGAATAGAGTCATGCAGAAGAAGAAATCTCTATTTTGGAACAACAAGCTAACTCAGTTGCTTGTGCAACCATACCTGTATGTCACTGGACATTGTCTTCATCAGCTCAGTGCATTTATTCTAGAGATCCTGCAGTGGAGTGGAGATACTTGAGAACAATCCTGCACTGTGCTTGCTCACAGATAAGCCATGACAATCCAGGTGCCCACACTTGAACCAGAAAAGCTCACCGTTGTCTTGAGGCACACCAGACCTTACTGCCTGTAATTCTGTATCATGTGTGTGAAGTCAACGAGGATATTTGCATCCTTAAATATAATACCTTTATAATGCCTTTTAAGTAAGAAAATATAGAAAACACAAAAATCACAGAATTTAAAAGTTTGACCATAAGCTAATTACAAGATGTCCAAAGTTCTGAAATAAAAGCAAACTGCTCTGCACCATGAATACGCTATTTCCTTTCGTGGGAAGACAGTCTTACTGCTTCATTAGAAGGAAAGATGTGTAGCTCTTAAGAGGACTTTGCCAGTATCTAAAATTCCTTCCATATTGCTGTGATAAGCTGTGTGCGAGGTAACCGTAAATAGTTTTATAGAGCTCATCTGGAGTAAGAATAATGGAATGGTTCTATTTGTGGAGTCTGGTCACTCTCGTAGGAAGTGTAAATTACCTGCTGGTTGTTGCAATGAAATTGCATAATAAAAAGGGGAAAAATAGCTTCTGTAAAATATTGGCATTGCAGAAACTATGAATTGGTGACTGATTGGAAAATTAGAGTAAAATTCTACTTTTAACATATTGGTTTGAGTTAGCCTATACACTTAATATAAGGAACTAGTTAATTTTAACAGATAACTTCTTTTATCAGGTACCAGGTCATCAGTACCCCAACTGACATTTTTATGGTGATGGAGTATGTATCGGGAGGAGAACTGTTTGATTATATCTGTAAAAATGGAAGGGTAAGTAGTAGTCTTAATGCTACAAATTAATGGCTTGTGTTCTGTAATTGATTTTGTAATATTTTTAAGTGAAGACTTGTCTTTATAGTGCTGTTAGGTGTTTAAAGATACTTTCTGACTGCTTTCTTCTGAAGCTAAGAACAGTTGTGTGTTCACAAATATTGGAGAGCTATTTTGTATCCTGATGAACCTTGACATGGACTAGGACATCTTCACATGAAGGGATTTGACAATGCTGCTGTTTGGGAACAGGTGCAATAAGAGCCTTAATTACTAAATCAATAGTTTACTATAAACTTTAATTCATTGAGCCATGCTTTTTAATTCATAGGAATGAAAAATGTTATCTTTCAATGTCTCAAAGTAAAGCTGTTTAAAACCATTTGTGTCTCTTAGCTTGATGAGAAAGAGAGTAGATGCCTGTTCCAGCAAATCCTTTCTGGTGTGGACTACTGTCACAGGCATATGGTGGTACATAGAGATCTGAAACCTGAAAATGTGCTGCTTGATGCACACATGAATGCCAAGATAGCTGACTTTGGTAAGCATTGTATTCTTTAGCTGATAATTATTTTGTTACTATTCAGATTTAGTTTATAATAATAGGAATTTTGAAATAAATTAGGATATTTGAATGTCTTGATGGTTGGAAGTAATATATGAACGTGAAGAGTGAATGTAAAGCAAAATTGTGTTTTTGCACACTTATAAATTTTGTTTTTTTTTTTTTTTCCCTTAAGCTGTCTTTTCAAGTCAGGCATTTCCTATGAGTGTTTAACTTAAAATTGTGAACTACCTGGTTGGTCTTGCTTAACTATTTTCCTCCAAAATGCTAGATGGACTTAGTTCCCTGCTATGCCACTTGATTCAAAATTGAGTCTTATTGCCTGTTTTTCTATTTGTAAGATGCAGATGCTTTAGCTGGTTTAAGAACCACATTGCTCTAGTAAAATATGTTACTTGTTATATTAAACCATTAAATTTGCTCTAAAAACTGATTGGTTAATATAATTGAGGTAAATCTTGTAAAGTAAGAGCAGGTAATTCTTAAACTCCTATGCTCTTTGCTATAAAGCAGCCTAATTAGTCAGAAGGCCTAATTGTCTTTGTTTTAGACGCAGCTGTTGGAGAGACTGGTAGCTAGTTCTTGGGAATATCTTAAATGGGAAACCTGACCATGTAGTGGGATATTCATACTGCTATGTAATCATAGTGAATAATACCTGCACTTGTAGAGCACTTTGAGGTCCCTGGTGAAAGGTGCTTGGTGGTGATGAGTATTCTGTTTTAAAGGTATGGTGTTCAAGTACACGAGGACTGGGAATCATATTCTCTCCTGGCTAGAAAATGTTTTGGGTGAACTGACTTGCCTGGTGAACAGATGAAGTACCCTAACTTTTATCTATCTGTAAATCAAGTGTTAGCAAAACAGTCACGTTATATTAATTGCAACTAGTATATTAATTGAGCCTATTTGAAGTTGTTTTATATTGGAGTGTGAAGGCTAGTTGATATGTGTTCTTTCACCCTCCTTGTCTTACTTAGCCTGAGTTTTCTTTATCATGCAACCTTCACTGAAAAAACTTGGAAATATTTTCCACAGTTATGCTAAAGGTGTAATTCTTCACTGACATGGGGGAAGGAGGCCATGCTGAGGGCTGATGAATGGAGATGGCTTAGTTTTAAAGTACACTTTAGATTGACCTTAGAAGTTGCAATTATAGTAAACTGTATTTTACTCAGGAGCCAGTAGAGCAGCTTATATGTCTGGACTATAAGGGCATAATGACTTTGTCACCTACTTCAAAGCCAAGTTATTTGCACTCAGTTCCTTTTAAAGAATTTTAGACAATTCTATGGTACTATCTTCCCCTCTGGCATTTGGAAGAAAATTATTATTATTATTTTTTTAAAGTCTCTGTTAATGACCAAAGTCCTACCTTGCTATGTTGTTCCGTCTGCCTTAGAGCAGCTGTGTTCTCTATCACACCTGTACAATGCAGATAACTCCTTTATTGTGTCTTGGAGTGAATGTATGTTTTTGAGTATTCCTAGGTTGTATGCAATAATGGACTGATGTTAGTCTCAGATTTCTGGTAAATCCTATCTAGGGCCATATGCCCTTTCAGTCATTCCAAACCATTATTCTTCCTCACAGAAGTACATTAGTTAAGTTTCTAACTCAAAAGTATTAGTGACTTGTTCTAGGAGGTATATGCAGTGAAATGAATGAAATCATTTTGCTCTCTGAATTTTTAGTAGTTCCTCTTCTATGTTTCAGGCTTATCAAATATGATGTCAGATGGAGAATTTTTAAGAACCAGCTGTGGTTCCCCTAACTATGCTGCACCAGAAGTAATTTCGGGAAGGTAGCTCTTTTATATTGGTTGCATGTGTGCATGTGCTTCAGTCATTCTGCTGCTGAATGCTACAAAACTAGTGTAATTGATCCACTTGATGCTGAGAGAAAGGGGGGTGCACAAATACAATTACAAGCAGAGATCTGTTGTGAAATTAAGTACAGTGGAATATCTCGTGAAGAATAGGGGCTATGCCTGAACTTGCCCCCCCCCCTTTTTTTTCTTTTCCCCACTTTGGGCTCTATGTTTCTCAAGTCTGTTTCTTGCAGTCCACATAATAGCCTCCTTGTCGGAGACCAAAAAACAGATTTATGGGCAATAGGATAGAAAATATGTCAAGTCTAGGAAACTCTGAGTGTAATCTGTGTTATGCATTGCACAGCTTTCCTTGTAGCAATTGTAACTTTCCTTCAGTTTGCCCATGTTAAATTATATTTGGGTCTTAATACAACAGAGAAACTGTGTGCTTGTGCCCTAGTCCTTACTACATATTGGAAGGGAAAGGTCCCTGGAGCTAAAGGGAGGCATAAGATAGGACTGTGAAATGAAATGCTATTTGTAGATTTAGTTGCTCCAAACTTGCAAACTGTGCGGAAAATCTCGCTATCAAGAACTGAATGTCCAAAAAGGAGACAGAGGAGTCCTAAAACTTTATTCGAATAAAGGGCCAATCCACCGGGCATATCCCTGTGGGGTCTCTCAAATTGCTGGAGGACGCAGCCCTGCTTTTATCCCAATTTCCCGACCGAGGGATGCCCTCTCCTTTTCCCCATTGGCCAAGGTCCTCAGTTACAGCCTTCGTGGCCTGTCTAAAGCCAAGCAATCTGGACAAGCAAC